GGTGAGTGAAACCAAGTGAGAAAACCTCTCACTGTTTAGTTCAGTGTATGCAAGAAAAGAAGAAATTAAATGGGGAAAATCTCGGAAACCTCTGACAGAGTTTTAGCTGAAGGCCATTAGGGGGCACCCATGTCACATCACAGAGGATGATGACTAAGAGTAAACAGTCGCTGTCTCTGGGCAAGATGGGTGCCCTTTCTACATTTTTACACTCGCAGTATTTTCTGCTTTGATGCTTTTTCTTTTCTTTAGCATTATCTTAAAGACGATCCTTATGGCTGCATTTTGTTGATCTTCTGTTGGCTTTGAGTCAGACACTGCAGTGCAGCTTTGACTGATGCTGTGCCATCTTCATCTGAGTTGCTTCACACTCTAGAGAATCCCACAGACACTGTTGCTACAGTGCACTGAATACTAAACTGTTAATTTTCCCTCTGCCTTCATCTCCAGTGAAGCGGGCCAGAGAGGAACACGAAGCAGGGAGCTCTGGCACTGAGCCACACAAGAAGAGGCAGAAAGATGAGAAGAAAAGCCAACAGGATGGTTCCTCACCCTCTGCACATTACCACAGGTTGGAAACCCACACAGATAAAGACTTATTGATTATTTGTCTGGCTAATCAGGTTTTTGAACCGTGATGTCTGACTGTGAAGAAAATTCCTTTGCGTCAGCCCAGTGCTACCACATCAAATTCAATTTCTTATGCTGCGTCTCATCTAGACAGCAGCAGCTTAAACAAGCCATAGTCTCAAAGCAGAATGGGCCAAGATTTTATAGCTTGTGCTGAAAGCAAGTTTCTACAGAGCTCCTATTGGCCACAGCTGCTGTGCCTTCTGGGAGAGAGATGAGCGCTGCTTCCTTGCTGTCTGTTATCGGGTGTGCGAGCCTGTCTGGGCTAGGATGCTTGTGAACATGACTGTTTTTAACCCCAGAGTGTGTTTGAAAGCCCCTGATCATTCTGTCCCCCCATCTACACGTCTACCTGTCTTTTGATTTGTTTATGCATCTCTTTCAGTCCGTCAGAACCGTCGGTAATGGACAGACTAATAGCTCTGGAGAAGCTGATGATGAGCTGCCAGGACAAAGATAGAATCAGCATGCTGAAAGACGTGGCACAGTCGCGCAAAGAGATCCAGGTGAGAATGCACACCTACATGGAAACAGAGTGGAAAACAACACGTCACCCTGTATGTTATAGATTTTAATTATTTATAGCTCCACCTGATTCAACCTTTGTCTCTGCTGTCTATCAGGATTTCGGTTTGTGTGTGATGTGACAGATCTGTGTACTGATTGATGATCTCCTTTTCATGGACATTTTATAGCTTTGACGTCCTTTTTTTTTGTTTTTCACAGGAGCTCAAAGAGAAGCAGAGGGAGTTTGAGAGCAAGGCCAAGCTCTTCAGTCAGTTGGCTGGAGAAAAGTCGATTACACAACAAGAGCCCGTCTTCAAGAACAACACAGCTCCCCTGCAGAGAAAACAGTCAAATGCCACAAAGCCCAATAAGCAGCAGGCGGTGGTCCAACCCCTGCAAGGTCTGTTAGGAATCAGACAAGTAGCTGTTACTGTAACTGAATGGATTTCCACAGATTTACCTTATCAAGAAATGAGTGCAGTTTTCAAATACGCTGTTAGTGAATTTACAGACATGGATAGATACTTTATTCAAGGTATCCAGTAGCTCACACATTACACACAAGACCGACAAAGGAACAACATATAAAAGAGCATACAGCTGGAAGAAAATGGCAATAAGGTGCCGAAAATGCTGGTATTTACATTAATGTGTAAAAATTATCAGTATTTACAACAAGGTTTGAATTTGTGGTATTTACAGTAAAATAGAATATTACAAAGTACAAAAGGTGCAGTGTGAGACTAGACCTAACAATGAGCCTATAGGATGGTCCTGGTGGGCTCAGATTATTGGTTTACTGTACAGTTGAGTTGAGTCACTGAAATGTAGCAGCCAACAGATGAGGTCATGAGCCGCTGCCCTTGACCAAGGTGTTCTAGTGCCTGATGGCTGTTCAGACAAAGGGTCTCCTGAACAGTCTGCGTTTGTGGACCAGTCCAGTTTATTGTCCATGTGTGAACCCAGGTATTTGTAGGTTTGAACCACTTCAGTGTCCTCTCTGACACTGACGGGCTGTAGTGGAAGCCCACGACCATCTCTTTGGTCTTGGAGATGTTGAGCAGAAGGCTGTTCTGAGCAGTGAAGGCCTTCATCAGCTTCCTGTTCTCACCTCCCTGCCCACACTTGATACACGCTACAATAGCTGTATCGTCAGAGTGTTTCTGAGTGTGGCAGGACTCAGATCTGTACCTAAAGTCTGTGGTTCACAGAGTGAGCAGTGTGGAGGAGGTGATGCGTGTTAAGACTGTCATTTTGTTCGACGCTGTCCTTAAACTGCCCTAAATGAAAACATGACCCTGGAAAACTTTTCCCGTCATGTATTCCTCTGTTGTTCATGCTTCCTTAAAGAGGAGTGACTCACTGATTCTGTCATGTTGAATCACTCGAGCTATTGATGAGCTGCAATGAGATACAAGAGCTCAGTGTACAGTGTCAGAGCCAGAAAATATATCAGATGACCATGAGGAGGGATTATTTTTTACACCCCTCAGCAGCATAGAGAGTGAGCAGATAGCTTTCCTCACTACCTGTCTCGTGCGTTCGGCTTTGAAATGACACGATATTGTTTCACCCCAAACAAAAAAATGCTACTTTGACTTTTCTCCACTTTCAAATTTGATCAACTTTTTCCATGAGAATTGTTGCCTCATTAACATGAATTAACGTTAATAGTATGTGTTTTCTTTCTCAGTGTCCCAGCTCCAGCCTCTTCAGCAGCTTGTAGTCGCCAAAAAACAGTCCGTCTGCGTCAAGAAGAAAGAGAAGAAGCTTTCAGACCTGGTTGAGGTCAGCATCCGAGCCTTGACTGTGCTGCGCTTAGCTTGACACATCTGCAGAGTTGCAAGCATCAGATACAAGCTGACGTAGTGCATTAGCTTCAATTTGTTCTTTTCTTTTTGACTCGACAGATACTGCAGGAATGTATTAGGTCAAAACTGACCTCGTCTCCAGACCAATAAAGACAAATAAATGTTGACAGTTAAAAATAGGTTGCCTATACTGTACATTATGTAATCGTGCATGCTTTTTTTTTTTCCTCCAAAAACCAGCTTTACACTGTTTGTTTTTTTCCCCCTCAGTCCCCAAATGGTAAAGAGAACGTGAAGGAGAATGCCTGGGAGTCCCAGCTGGACACGTCAGTACTGGAGCAATCCAGAGAGAAAATCCTGCAGGTTCTGAACACTGGCTGCCTCAAAGAGCTGAAAAGTCTGCAGCAGATCGGTGACAAGAAGGCAAAGCTCATCCTGGGCTGGAGGGAGATCCACGGTCACTTCACAAAGGTGAGCCGTGAGCTGCCATGTAGATCTCGTTTCATCATGCACCCCAAAACAATATGTTGTCCTCAGTAGTAGCTGTGCTGACTAAATGTGTGATCTGGTATTTTACAGTTGGAAGATCTTATAAAGGTTGAAGGGATGACGGAAAAGAGATTTTCCTCCTTCATGAAGGTAAACAAACTCCTCAGGAGAATGTGTATTTTATTCAAGCTGACATTTTTGATCACTTGCTTTTCCATTTTGGTCCAGAATTCCAGGTTTTAACAGCTCTGACTATTCTGCCTTCAAAACTATTGGATAGGGCACCAGACAATGTTTTTGCAAACATGTCCTGTACAGAATGAGCTGTAATATTGTGACTTTTGCAGCATTATCACGGTATAAATATGATTTACGACTAAATACCAGCAAAATAAGTCCCATCAGCCTCCGTGGTGCTTTGTTGTTTTAGCAGATGTTAGCATTGTAAGCAAACATCAGCATGATGGCGTTTAGCTTCAAGCTCCACTGTGCCTCAGTGTGACTCCACATGCTGCTAGCACGCCTGTAGACTCATTCGATCACGCGAACACACTGGATATGATGCACAGCAGTAACATATGCTGCTTCACTTGCTCAAGGACTGTACAAAATACAATTTTCATGAACTTGTACTTGAATATTTTAATGTTATAGCGCTCTCCACCTTGACTTCTCTGAAATTCTGTGCTTTGTACCCCACTACATTCATGTTAAAGCTTTGAGTTATTTTGCAATTAATCTATTCCTGTGTAACTAAATGGATCAGTGGTGCTATATTACTATAGATACCAGCAATGTATGAAGTAATTACAATTAGTCTAAGCTGATATGAAGCAGCATGAGGGGATGAACACATTGATCTCAGTGGTTTATTATGATCATTATAAGTGGACCTTTGGACAAAGTGGGTTCACTGTGCTTCTGGTTTTACTCACTGCTTGTTCTCTTGTTTTGCAGGCGAACATCCTGAGCGCCATGGGGAAATGATTTTATTGTCTGCTTTTTGTAATCAAACCTATGTAATGTACATAGTTTTTATCCTGTATTTGTCTTTATTGTGCTTGGTTTTATTTTGTTTTTGTAGTAACCTCTGTGCTCCAGCTGGTGGCGCAGTACTGCTTTTTAATAAACCTCTTATGTTATTAAATGCTTGAGTGTTTACTTGTTGTTTTTGTCTCCCTGAACGTGAATACCTCTCATGATGACATTCACATGTGGCTCCAATGTCACCCCTCCTGCACCGTGCCGGGTCATACATCAGCTCGGTGGGGGGCGTCATCCAGACCGGGTTCTGGGTTAAAAACCAGAACTGGGCTAATTTGTGAACTCTTGTCCTCTGCAGGGCAAAGACACGAGTTTATGATCGATTACTGTGATGCAGCATCCCTGGATAAATATTGAATGTTTGGTTTTTTGAGGGTGAGGAGTGGAGGATGCCATAATTCACCTCCCCTCTCTCTCTCCCTCCCTCCCTCCTTTTCCCACAGCACGTAGTCTGGTTGATTTCACTTTTCATTTCACACACACCCTCCTCCTCTCCTCCTCTCCTCCTCTCTCCGATCCACCCAGCCGACCAGGAGACTCCGTCCATCCCAGCACACTGCGCTGTCAGCCGGATCGCCTCTCCACACCAGCTCCCTTCTCTCTCCTCCGCTTTCACTTAAAACCATCTGGATTTTTTTTTTCTTACACAAACAAGCCACGTTTTTCTTTTTTTGTTTGTTTTTTTTTGGAAATACACCGAAGATGTTTGGCCGCGTCTGATTGAATTCTTCCACCTGAGAATAAGAAATTAGCACGATGCCAAAGCCAGGGACGAGACGGGATTAAGAAGGAAGAAAGGTCAGTTTTATCCTCAAATGTGCTTTTATTTATTTATTTGCTGCAAATGCGATGCCTTTTTTTCGTATCATTGCAATTTAGCAGCTCCCATCCACTGAATCCTAATGAGCAGGCTAATTAATGAGCAGCCTCCTTCCTCCATCCGACTGTTTTTTTCTTCTTCCTTTGTCTCCATCCTTTTCTCCGTCCTTTTAGCTTTTGTTGTTGAGCCCGACTAACCGGCCACCATATGCCAGTGAGCAGGTTGTGTACACATGATGGAATAAAGCTATGTACACACCTGCATCGTTTCAAAGCAGCCAGCCTCCATCTGCCATGCCTTTGTACTGCCCGTGTCATTGTGACCCGCTTTTGTTGTTACCTGAGAAAGGCAGGCTGCTATTTTCATACGGGCCCTGATCTTATTTTTAATTTTTCATTATTTTTTATCTTTACAGTGACTCAGGAGTGCATATTTATAATTCAAGCAATGTGAGAAGTGATCAAAAAAAATGTAATCCGAAGTGGATTATAAAGAGGCTTATCGTGATATTGAGCCTGTTAAAAATGGAATTTATTTAGGGAGTGTACGAAAATTATTTGTTTTGTTTTTTAAGAAAAAAAAAACAACAAAGATTTTTTTTTCTATAAAGCAGCCTCCTTGCCAGCAAAATTAATATTTTATTTCTGCCTTACTTAAGAGATGCAATACTACTCGTACAGTAGGGTGAAGCAGTAGTACTCTCTCAGGCCTGTAAACAGACCTTCACATGTGAACTAAGTGGAGTTCCTCCGTAATGCACCGACCACAGCAGATGAATTATAGAAAATTTAAAATCAGCACCTCGTGTAACCCCCCTCCTCCTTAATCCCAAGCAGATTCTATTTTGCTTTCACTGCAACAGAAAGTCCTTCACCTCTATGGAAGCAGCACAACCGTGGATAGAGAGAGCTAAGAGATGTCCTCTATGCATCACAACAGTTAAAGTGCCATAAATCATTAATAGAAATGAGTATCTTTGCTGATTTCTTTTATGTAAAAAAAAACCTCAAATCAACATGTGTAATTTTTTTTCCCCTTCAAGTGCTCGTAAGTGCTACGAATGCTGGGTAAAAAAAAATGTGGCTCTGCATACTGTAGATATTTAAGTACTTAAATTTTTAATTTGCTTCTATTCTTGTCCTCTCTCTGCTCTGTGGGAGCACAGCCTGCAGTTCAGCTCAGTTCAGCCGAAAATTCCCAGAATTTTTGTCACATGGTTATTTGTCACAGCTGAGTCACTGAGGGCTTCCCGGCTGTGACGAGGACAACAATTTATTTTTGGTGAAGTTTTAAATAAGATGTGTAGTAGAATGTGATTTTGATGAAATGTCATGATTTTAAGCTTAGATTTGTTTTGTTTTGTTTTTTCCAGCAGAACCACATCAAATGATTATTTATGCTCTTACAGTTTCTGGCTCTGATGAATAGTTTATCCTGTTATTTTTTTAAGTAACATGCCCTTCAAACCTGCTGGCAAGTATCAAGAGTTAACAGATATTTACCAATTCAGGAGCTGTGGGAATCACTCAGTAAAACACATTGATTTGTAGGTTTTAGTGGAGATGCAGGAGATACGTTCCCTTCATGTTTAGAAAATGGTGCAAAAGCTAAATCATCAAAAAGGACATTTACTTTTCAATATTGCTATTATGTTTCATCTTGTGTTTTACATAAATTAAGACATTTCTGCTGTAAGCTGATGCAGATAATTCACCAAAATTCAGGAAATCTGGTGTTTGATGCTCAAATTATGCAGAGGAAGGAAGCCCAACGCCCTGCTTAATGTGTTCCTCCCACAGTGTTAAATGCATTTAATATCTACTGTAGCTCTGCTTTCTGTTAGGATGCAGAATGAAGCTAACATGCTGTTTATTCACTATTAATGAAAAAGATCCATCTGTTGTGTCTTCAAACTGACATAGATAGATAGATAGATAGATAGATAGATAGATAGATAGATAGATAGATAGATAGATAGATAGATAGATAGATAGAAGTTATTGTTTAGAATAAAGCCAAATCTGGAATAAGAAAAGTTCAAATGCCATCTTATTTTCATCCCCTTCCCACTCTATTAAGTTATCTACAGCCCCTAAGCTGAAGTGAGTGAGCAGCCTGTGTTTATAAGTATGATTAAACCACCACTTTCTGGCCCCCAGGTGTAACTACAGGCAGCACACACAGGACTGGACCACAAACAGAGGCCTCATTTTGCTGTCAGCATGGCTGTGAACATGATGCCAACTCCCGCCATTTGGCCAGGGGAGGAACAACCGTCGCTGCTGGACCAGGAGGGCTCCCTGCCGAGCCAAGCCCCCGTCTCAGTGCCGTGTCCACCAGCCAGAGGTGAAGAGCTCATCCACAGCAGCAGCAGCCCGGCCAGCACGAGGCCCCCCCGCAGCAAATCCAAAGGAGAGCTAGTCATCGTCATCAACGAGAAGCTGAAGAACAGTAAGTGACTGAGTTTGACCTCGCAGCTGGCGGGTCGCGCAGCTGCTTAGTCAGCTCGCCCGGGGAAAGTCAAATCCCAGTGTGTGAATGAGGCGCTCTGAGAGCACACGTTTACCTGGAACCCGTCCTTTTCCATCCTTCATGTGTAGGTAACGGGATCCACTCGGTGTCTGCAGAGAGCACCTCCCCAGTCATCTCCTCTCCACCCAGAAGACAGCACTCCATCTCTTACCCCCATCACGGCAAAACCAGGAAGGGCAGCAGGGCGGGCTCCATCGGCTACACCGCCTTCTCACCCAGGCCGTCGCTCTCCCGCCACTCCAGCATCGCCACCAACCCTCCGCTAGACCGGACCAAGGTCAAAGACTACCTCCTCCTGTCCGTGCTGGCCTGCTTCTGCCCCGTCTGGCCCATCAACATCGTTGGATTTGTCTACTCCATCATGGTAAGAACAGAACGTCTTGCTCTTGTGTTCAGTTTTACAACCGAAGCGACGCTAACAGATGGTTCCATGTCCTCCTTCAGTCCAAGAACAGCCTCGAGCAGGGAAACCTGGACGGCGCCGTGCGTCTGGGTCGCGTGGCCAAGATGCTGTCCATGGTGTCTCTAGTAGGAGGGACGGTCATTATCATCGCCTGCATTGTCAACCTGGCCAGTGAGTGTCCCAAATCTGACCTTTAAACCCTAACCTCACCTTTTTACCTCCTGTGTAGCTGAGCACCGCTGATCCTTTCCTCTGAACTCTCCTTTTAGATGTGAATAGTGAATTGAAGGATTTGTAGCCCTGCAACCGCCGACCGTCGGGGCTCAAACACCTGCTGTTTATTCCATCGTTATATAATACTCTGTTAGCACAATCCGACCACAATCACAGATATTACTACCATCCATGTTTGCACAATATTGCACTCGCCACAATGCCTGCACGCATCTTTACACACTTGCGGCAGTGTAGCCTTTTGGGAACGACGTCTGTGCTACACAAAGATCAGAGCACATTAAGCGCTTTTGCATCAGATCTACATTTCCTGACGTGTTCCTCCAGATTTGCACGGGTGGCCTCCAGCTGTAACCAACTGCATGCCTCGGTTTGTGTGTATCTGTAGAGTGATTTGTGCAGTCCGCTGTCTGTTTGCTTGTACAAAAAACTGTGACGTCTTGCTGTTCCTGTATCACATGTATAATGTCTGTGAGTGTGTGAGTTGCCAAGAGGCTCACAAGTTGAATAAATGTACAAATGCAAATAAAGGGATTCTGAGAACAGATCAGTGATGATTTCAGTGACTTGTACAGAAAAGGGACTAGTCTGTGTGTTTAAACGTATTCGCGAAGGGTCAGTCAGTTAAATGATTCTTTGCCTTTCAGTTCAAGCGGATACTTATCTGTACTTTGTTTCTGAATGCACACAGTCGCAGCCTGTTGGGCCTCATTAAGCCAAGAGATGTCCTAATTAGCTCAATGACTGCGAGAGCAATTGTAGACACAACTTGAGTTTAAGAGCTCTGGGACTCAGCAAGCCTTGTTTTTCTCATTATATAACTGTCCTCTGTGGTCTCTGAAAGTTTATACATCCATATTAAGTTGCAGAATCCACAGCTCTAACTAATACGCTTCCTTTTCTTTTTTTAGTAAATGTGAAAACCTGAGTTTCATCCCAGGATGAAACCGGATAAGACAACTGACCGTCTGGCCCGCACCTGCACCACCATCTTTACCGCCTAGTCATTACCTGGATGTGTGACAAAATATGCACCCGATATACAGCGCTTACTTATATTTCTGTAATCTATATAAATCCCTTTTGCTAATGGAAGAAAATAAAATATGCAAAATGAGTCCGGGGGAAGGGGGTTGGGGTTGGGTTTGGTTTGTCCGTCTGGCGTTTGGAGAAGGGAGTCAGACTAATCAGCCCCTTCGTATTCTGGCCCACACATTCAGAACGATTCTTAAGAAAGCTCTTCGAGAATCCCATCACCTCCCCGCAGAACTGTTGGACTAGAAAACAGGGAGGTGGTTGACAGAACATGAAGCAGGAAGGACCGGCCCCGACCAACACCCACCAGCTCCACAACAAAACATCCACCACGTCCGTCCTTCGCCGCACCAACAGCGGGGACCCATCAGAGCTTCAGCTAAATCCCCTCAGACACACGGAGGGTGGGCTCTGGGATTTGGGGTTGCATTGGAATCACACAGCAGAGATTCATCCGTCCCCTCCTCTCACACAGAAGAAGAAACACTTGCAGTCACACAGTGTCCTCTTGTTTCAGACTGTCCTCTGTGGCTCTCCTGACTCCACGACGCCCTACATCTTGTGTTTGAGAGTGAGTGTACGGGTGGCGAAAAGAGGATGAAAGAGAGGCTTACCAAGGACTAGCTATGGGTGCTAAAATGGAAGGGATTATGGAAAGTCTCGCAGAGAAGGCACACTCATCAGTGCAAGGGGTTGGGTGGGGGGGAGAAAATGTGCCAAATAGAAGAATTTAAAGTTTGTAAAGAGCCAACTCTGGTCACGGGATTGTTGTAGAGAGGAGCGTGGAAATGTGTTTGTACTCTGCTGCAGCTTTACCGCTCCACACCACTGACCACTGTGAGCCGGACGACAAAACCCCCGAAACTGTAGCAACGATCCTCAACAACACTCATTTTACAGTGAAGCTAGCGATGCTGCACCATCTATCTTTTTTGATAATGTTTGTAAAAGATCCTTTTGAAAACAGATTTCGTAAATGTGATGCTGTTGTGCCGCAGTCGACAGATGGTGGTAGTGTTGTGTGATTGTGTGTGTGTGTGTGTGTGCGTGTGTGTGTGTGTGTGTGTGCGTGTGTGTGTGGGCATCACTATTTGGTTAACAAATGAAATAGCTTGTGATTGCAGCCAAAGATGTGGCCTCAGCCTGCACTCACAGCTACTCTGTGCTTTCAAACCAGACACATTGCGGCGCTCTCGTCCTCTCTGAACAGTTGATTTTAACCCTGGATGTGTTCAGCTCCTTTATATACTGTTCTTTTTTTTGTTGTTGTTGTTGTTGTTGTCGTACACACTTTTGATTCCTGATGGGGTTTTTACGGCTGTGAGGTTTACGTAGCAGTGCGATAGCAATAGCGTGAAGTAATTTTCAAATCTGGTTTGTTATTCTTGCTCTAATATCTCCTGTGTATCCTTAACTAACCTCTAATCTTTATCTACCTGTGATTCTCACTGTGATCTGAAACGCTCCTTATTTACTGTGTCCTGGGTTTTGAATCATGTACAAAAACGACTTCTCACCTGCAGACAGTTTCTGTAAAGACTAATATGGCTCTTTTTTTTTTTCTATGTTATAATGTAAATTTAATTGTAATCAACGGTTGATGTATTCTGCAGATATAAATCTCAATATTGTGATAATTCTCTAGTTGATATGAGTTAGCATTACGTAGTTCTGATCTAACGTAGGCACAGAAGCTGTCGGATAGCCTCCTGACGGTCATTGTATTCCCATCAGGCTTCTATAATCTTTGTGGTTATTGGCATGTTTTTTTTTGTTTTTTTTAATGTACGATGATAGAAAATGACAGAGATGAGCTGGTACTTGGAATATTATACTTCTGCAGCACATTCATAATAAAGACACAATGCATGTAACACGTGTTCGCTGTTGTTTCCAAGAGATCAAGAGCGGCAGCAGCAGCGCAGATTAAAGAGATTTTTGTTTGTGTGGGAGAGAATGAGTGTCAAAAGTGGGAGATATCCAGAGAGCTTAGCCATTGAGGAGGGGATTGTGTTGTTGCAATTTAGTAGATGAGGGAGAGCATTAATGTATTTCTTCATGCTGTGATAGTGTGTAAGCTGCAGGGCTGCAAAGCGCCTGCTGTTGTCAGGCAGCCCAGACAGCAGGAAGAGCAAAGTGCTGAAGGCAGAGGCCCTGAGCCAAGGAAACACGCCTTATGATCGGCTGTAATGAGAACTTAAGCCTCCGATGACTTCAGCAAAAATCAAAGCAAAATATCCCTCATTATTTTCCTCTGAGGTTTTTTCTAAGCCCTAAAAGAAGCTTTTACTAGTCGCTGCTCGGGCTTTTCCTCATTCATATCAGGACCAGGAGTGAGCAGTGAATGGGCTGAAACATAAAGAAAAAGAAATGTTTTCATAAGAGACACCTCCAGTCTACTAATCGTGCAATAATCAATAATCATACTGTTTATTTTAACTAGAATAGTAGATTAATTGAAAAGTCAAGCGGGGACATTAATAAGCTGCTGTTCTGATAACTGACTAATCCTTTAAGTCATTTTCTCAGTGAACGAGACGTCACAATGTGAAGCCACACCAACGTCTCTGAGAGCTGCAGACCAACATGTCTGGAGGCTGCAGATGGAGATCAGCCCGAGGCTCCTTCTGGTACAGTGCATTAAATAATAACATCTATGGTTAATATTAAACATGGTTCCTTCCAATTAAAAAACAAAAAGCACAATGTTGATGTTTAGCAGGTGGTTGCTTAATACTGTTGCTAAGTAGCTTTAAACACACACATGAAGTGCAGTTGAGATTGTTTAAGGATTCAAGGATCTTTATTGTCATGTCAGCTCACATTTACATGTTTGTGGTATGAAACTGGTACTCAGGTCCTGGTTTTTACAAAGCCTAATAAATCACAAGTACAATGTAAAACAAGAGCAACATATAAGTAAAACTACAAGCAAATAAGTGTACGATAGTAAAAATGTAAACATTAAGTAGAAAAGTCAAAGTGAGCCATTTAACACTAATAAAAAAATAACCTCTAATAATCTAATCAATAATCTCATTGAGTTTTTAAGTATTCGGTCATAAACCAACATACCGGATACCAGAGGTGTTGTTAGGATTCACACATGTTCACCTGATAATTGCATGATTTTTAGAAAACAATGAATATAAAACACTGCACTCTCGGTAAACTAACGTCTTTCTTTCTGTCATCAGCTCATGTTGCACATTAATATCACAGAGAGTCCACAGTCAGATTTGTGTGGCTATATATAGGCTAAGCTTTGCCTTGGAAATACTGTTTTGCATAAATTTTACTGAGTAGTATTGTGGACCCTATAAATAGTCCAGGAGAAGAAATACAGGTGGTGGTGAGAAGAAAAAGTTCTCCCACAACACAATAATCCAAATACATACAGCTGAAACCAGAAGTTTACACACAATGTATAAAAAGACATAAAACATTTTGTTTCTCTCTGTTTGACATTAAATGTGATGAAACTTTTCCTGTTTAAGGTCAGTTAGAAGTAACAACATTGTTTCTATTTGCTAAATGCCAGAATAATGAGAGAGAGATTTTTTTTTTTGAGATTTTCTTTCTTCAAAGTCAGAAGTTTACATCCACTAAGATGCCTTCAAACTATTTGGGAAAGCTGATGATGATGTCATGGCTTAGGAAGCTTTTGATTGGTTAATTGACAACATTTGAGTTAACTGGAGGCACACCTCAAACACTCTGCTTCCTTTTGTGACAACATGGGAAATCTAAAGAAATCAGCCAAGATACCAGGAAGAGAATCGTGGACCTCCACAAGTCTGGTTCATCCTTGGGTACAATGTCCAGATGCCTGAAGGTTCCACGTTCATCTGTTCAAACAATTATACACAAACATGTTGTGTTGCCTTAAAGATTTAAAGAGTTCTCTGAAATCACAATAATGTCGGTGCTGCTGCAACTTTTTTGCTTTTAGACAGAAAAATATTTTGACATCCGTAAACAGATGTGACTTTTACAATGAGTTCAATAACATCCCAACAATGTTGACATTATATTATTTTTAACAGATTCAATGCACAATCAGGACGACAGATGCAGATTATGTTAGATTTTTTTAAAAGCAAAAACTTCCAGTTATTTACATGACTTTATCTGTAAGTGACCATGTGCAATATTAAACATCAGTGTTACATCTGACTCACATCATCGCAGAGTTAGTTTAAGGTTAATGTCCGTCTGTCTGGCAGGTCACAGCTGAAACTTCTGCACAGCGACAGAACGACACTGAGCAAACCAGACGAGCAAGACCAAACACATAATAGGAATTACACAGAGTAATGCATCACACACACCTTGTCAGCAGCTCCAGCATGTTAGACAAATCAAAAGCCGCAAATGTGAACTGAACGGTGGCACTAGAGGAAATGTCAGCGTGTAAATAAAAAGGTCAGATGTGACTGCAGTCCGTGCATGTACAGTAGCTGCAGAGATATTTGAGTCGGGACCAAAGTGGTTGACCGACTTTCCCCGGAGTCACACTGCCGGCGTGGATCAACATGCAAAACATCACCTTGTCCTGCTGTAGCGGCTTGCTGCTTGTCTTCGGTTTACATTACAGTGAAATGAGAATATTTGGGTTTTAAACAGGCCTCAACCTGTTTAATGAGCCGAACGACTAACTGAACAAAAACACCAATAATTACTATTAAAGCAATCACAAGTGCAGAATTACTTTAAATATGTCACAGAAAAGAGTCTGTAGGTAAGTGACTGTTGTCTTAATGAACATAAAAACATGCTGATCGTGCAAAATAAACATGGCCAGCTATGCAAATTCATTCATGTGACACTTTTCAAGAAAATAAAAAAACCTTCCTGACATCACAAAGGCAAAAAAAAAAACTATAGCAGCATTTACAACATCTGACAACAGCAGATTCCCCCCCTGACCAGTGTTAACATTTTGACAGCTAAAGGTATTTTTCTTTGTGCTCAGCTAATTTAACAGTAGGTGTACGGTACAGTAGGGCTCGGAAGGGGATCAGTGTACCAGACAGAGTCACATCCAGATGCAGTAAGTGGGTCAGGGATTATCCAGCTGGGTCACATAAACACTGAGGCCGTGAGTCAGCTTGGCAGCGTTGGGACGCATCACGATCATCCTGCCAGTCAGCCGCATAGCAAATAACAGCATAATGAGATACACTGACCTGTGGTGATGCTCTTCTCTTAGTGCTTTCTGCAGGGAGAGAGAGAGCCGCAAGAGAATCATCAAAAGCGTCAAGCAA